ATAAGTAGATGAGTGAGTACCACCACTGAAAGCAGTGAAATCAGTTAGAGTCATTATGTGGATACTGTTGAAAGTGTGAGGCATGGCAGATTTGCACAGAGGAAAAAAAATTGTTCATTCTTTCTAGCAGTTAGAGAGTAACTACTGCTGGTGCTAAGCTGTGAGACTTCATTTCTTTTTTAAAAAAGTAAAAATGTTGTTAAAGATAACCGCAGGTAGAGAAGCGACACTTGATGAGGTAATGGCTGTGGAAAATTGTATATCATTTTGGATCAATTGGAAGCCTCTTTATGGCACTTTCAGGGCTTTTCTACTGCGGGTATTTTTTGTGATTCCAATTTAATCCTCAGTCTGTGTTCAAGCCTTATGAAATGTTGCACTTTCAAGATTTTGTTGTGAATAATGATATAACATAATGATATTAATCATACATAAGAAATATCTGAGTATCGTAACATAATTTGATAGAAAGAAAGCCTTCTCGTCAAAAGAAAACAATAAGAAATAAGTTCATCACACACTGCACCTGAACAAACACATCACCAATATGTACTCATCTGACCTCATTCTCCCTCCCCGTCTCCTGTAGGATTGAGCGAGGAGGAGTTGCTCATCCGGGCCAGGGAGGAGCGTGCAGCCATCGTCGGCCGGTACGATCTTGGCCGCGAAGAAGGGGCTATCATAGATCCATGGGAAGACCCAGAATTCGAGGTCTATCACACCACAGACAGATATGGCTTTATACAGTAAGTGATGTGACTGTGGAAGGTATAGATGTGTGCATGAGTGATAAGTGCATTCATGTCTGTGTGTATGTGCATGTGTATTTTGTATGTATTTGTATATATAATCATGTCTGTATGTACTCCATATAACTATGTACACATGTAGGAGCATTTGTATATAAAGGGATGTATGGCAAGCAAGATTCAGAGCCAGACTATCTCTCTTTATTACAAGTTCTTAATGGTTTGACAGCAGTAATTTGATTCCTTTAGAAAAAAATCAAAATTTTGTTATTCATTTCTGCTGATGTTGCCACTACTTGCATAGTTAAAATGTTGCTAGATTGCGTACCTAATGTGACCCTATTATTATTATTTTTTTTTTTTACACTAATACTTACTTGATAATTGATGATAATGTTGATTTTTAGAATGTAATAACATCCTTTACTGTTTCATCATTTGTAATGTTACTTTGTGTTTTATCACCTGATTGAGAAGCAAAACATTTTGTTTAATGGAATTCCAGATTATTAACAATTACTGTACTATAGCAAAATGTTTTATTCACACCTCTTCTCAATTGATATGATAACTGAGCCTTTCATTATTTGTTTTGGTTTAGGGTTAGTCCAACATCTGTTATGCATTTATTGGAATGAAAGCCTCTAATGCGCCATTACCATTTCATATTACATTAGTATTAAAGGATGAATGTGTAATGGTATTTAAAAATGTGAAAGCACAAATTCTCTCTTCATTAAGTACCAACAGCCCAAATACCCAATTTGTCGTCTTTTAACATTCCCCTCTGCTTCTCCTTACTGCAGTGACAACAGGCTGCCTCAGTCCCGTTCCAAGGAGGAGGAGAAGAGACTGGAGATCGAAATGTCCAGGATACCCAAGTGGACAAAGATGATAAAGTCGTGGGAAAAATATTGGGACAAGGAGAAGTTCTTCAAACGCGTCTACAAAGGGATTCCTGACCGGTTTCGGGGCACTGTGTGGGCCAAGCTGCTCTACCTCGAGCAGATCAAGGAGGAGCAGAAAGGGAAATATGAGGTAGGCAGAGATGGAGGCTTCTCTCCATTTGAAAAAAAAAATGATAATAATAATTTGATTCTTGAACAAATTTGTTATGTTTGATTTTTCATTAGCCTGGTTTACATTTATTTTAACAGTGTTGTTCTCATTTTCATTGCCACTATGATTAGTAACCATCACATGTTCACAATAGTGATCTTCGTTGGTTTTAGTGTCATTGCTTACTGTTGCTGTTACTATAACTATTACTACTATTACTGTCATCATCATCACCACCATCACCATATCTGTTATCATTATTATCATTATCATTATTAATATTGTTACTGTTGTTGATGTTTTTGCTGTTGCTGTTAATGTTGGTATCATCATCATTACTATTGTTATTATTACTATTATTATTATTATTATTATTATTATTATTATTATTATTATTATTATTATTATTATAAGTGGTAGTAATTGTTATTGTAATAGTAGTAGTTGTTGTAATAGTAGTAATAGTAATAATCTCATGATTAATATTGTCAACAGGAAATGAGAAGACTCGGACGCAAGTGGTCCACGGATGTACGACAGATTGACTTAGATGTTAACAGAACCTACAGAGATCATTCCATGTTTCGTAAAAGATATGATGAGAAGCAACGGCAACTCTTTCATATTCTTGGTAAGGACCAGGGACTTTGTTTTTTTAGATGTGAAAAAAGTAATGATTGAAGAATTAGCATAGTAACAGGATTGGATGGTGTGTCAGTCAGATTTTATTGAACTATTTTTTTCATCAGTTTCTTTGCTAGACTCTTTTTAAGAGTTGGCTTTTTTTTCATACACATTCCAATGTGCAGTAGTTGTCATAGATAATGTTTCATGTCTTTTGTCATAGATAATTACTTTGCTTATACATCATTCCATTCATTCCAACATTTAATTAGACTCACCTCTGAACATTTTGTGTGTGTGTGTGTACGTGCGTGTTTGTTTGTTTGTTTGTTTATTTTAGTATATTTGACCTAGGTATGCTTTTAGACATTGCTTGTCGCGGTGTAAAAAATCTCTTCATGGTTGCTGTCTGACGTCTGACGTTTATTTTTCCAGTAGGGAAAAGCAAGATGTGCCCGGCATATTGTTAATAAAGACAGACTACGTGGTTTTATTCTAGGAAGGCTTGCCAAGGTCGATTATTAATGCTACTATATTGTCGTCTAAGCATTCTGAAGCAATACTGGAGAATTCCTCTTCAGGTACCTTATTGTATTGAGGAGATTAAGAGATTAACCCTTGTCTCCCTCCCAGAGAAATATCAGAATTCACTATATCGACTGTGGCATGTCCCACCCCTGTGGCTCAGAAAAGCTACTCCTTACCTACCATAGACGACATTTCTGCTTTTGAAAGATATAGGTGTCAAAGTGCATAAAGAGTGCGAGTCATACAGGAATAGCTGTCAATATCTACCAACATGGAGAAATAGGAGATGTGGTGAGGTGTGCAAGGGATTGTTTGGTTTTCTAGGTACAGTGATTTTATACTATGTTGCTAGTTGGCTTATAAGAATGAATGGAACTGTGAGGCATGAGAAAGTATAGTCCGTTTGGACTAGGAATGTATAACATTTTATTCATGCCCACTTTAGGTATGTACTGGCATTTTGAAGATTGTAAACTTGAGTATCTAAAGGGTCCAAACCAACATTCCTTGGGCCATGCCTTAAGAAAGCAGGGCTAGTATAGTTAGAAGTAAATGCATTGATCTCAAAGTAAGCCAGAACTGGGCTGTAGCATTAGTTAATTATTCTTTTATGTTTTTCTATCTTCTTGCAGTTGCATACTCAATGTACAACCAAGAAGTGGGTTACTGCCAAGGTATGTCCCAGATTGCTGCGTTGCTACTCATGTACCTGAATGAAGAGGACGCGTTTTGGGCCCTCTCGGCTCTCATGTCCTCCCCCAAGTATGCCATGCATGGTGAGTAATCAGTTGTTTACGTTTTCTGTAGAAGTCATGGAAGTTTATTGACTTTTGAATGTGATGAAAGATTATATTGGTTTATGAAATTTGTGTGAGTGTATAGGGAGGACAACCTAGCATATTGCCTGATGAGGTCTGTCAGGGATTGATGTGTGATCTTTGCAAATAAAATTGGTCTTATTCTATTTTTGATACTTGTGTCTACATGAATGGAGTAGGTTTTATTTATTCTTAGATATTAACAGGCATTAACAGACTACCTAATTTTTCAGGTTTCTTCATTCCCGGATTCCCAAAGCTTTTGCGGTACCAGCAGCACCATGACAAAATCCTGGAAAAATTCTTGCCAAAGCTTAAGAAGCACTTGGAGAGAAACTGCATTGATTCTGGCTTATATACCCTCAAATGGTTCTTTCAGTGCTTTCTAGACAGGGTAAGTCCTTTGTTGTATGCATTGACCCATGAGAACTATGTACAGTATCACTTATTTAAAGTTGATTGTCAGGAAGGGAATGTACATAATAGAAGCAGAAATTATCAAGTCTATCAGAAAAGTGTAGATCACAACAAATCCAAATCAGCTTTCACCCCCATTCAGTGTTTACGTATTTGTGCTTGTGCATATGTGTATTTGTGTCTCCAGGTGCCATTTACCTTAACACTGAGGCTGTGGGACATCTTCCTGTTGGAGGGTGAGCGTCTCTTGGTGGCCTTTGCTTACTGTATCCTCAAATTGCATCGTCGTCAGATCACACGCCTTGACATGGATCAAATTTTAGATTATCTTCAGAAAAAGTAAGTGTTATGAAAGAAGGGGACAAGATAGCGGGCTGGGTCAAGGAGTCTTTATTGATCAGTAATTCCCTGTAAAGTATAGGGATTTATAAGCAAAAGTCTGATCTTGAGGGTTAATGGTATTCAACAGTTTTGGAATGTGTGTAAGATATCTCATCATCTTTTTTATTTGTCATGTGTGCACTTCCTATACTAATAACAGACACTGCATTAAGTATAAGGCTATATTGGATGAATTTAAGGTAATGGTTTCTAATGATCCTAATTTTAACCATCCATATGTACATAATTTTAACAGCAGAATATACAAGTATATTTCTGACTGAATGAGTTGTATGAATGTATATGGTATTGTAGAAACAGGTGTGAATATTTAACATGTTCATCACTACTAATGTATATAGATTCTTTACTTATTTACAATAAATCATCAGACTGGTTTTATTTTTTGATGGAGTGAATGGTAATGATTGTACATGTCTGTATTATGCACCTGGTGAGCTTAGAAAATAAAATTGGATTTTTGTACATATGTAAAATTCCTCATCTTTTCTTCCTTTTAGTTTTGGTTATATCCCTAAATTAATCATGTTTGAATGAATGAAAAGTCATTTATTTTATGATTTTATACAAGTAATTTTTTATGGTTTGACTCTTTGTTAGAGAAGTTTTGTATAGCTTATTCCAGACAGAATGTTGGGCACCATTAAGTAATCAGTTACCACAACAGCTATCAAAAACAATGGCCATGTTTGAACATGTTTTCCTCCCTTGTCATTGAAGTTCCACCATCTCCTAACCCTGAAGTCTTATTCTGGTCCAACATATGCTCTCACAACTAATTTTTTTTAGATTAGAGAAGAATTTTGGTTATGAAGACGACTATGTGATAGAGAGTTTAGAGAAGGCCATGGAGGAGCTGAAGAAGGCAAAGCTCGACCATCCCGGGGCACCACCCGACAACGAGCTGCCGCAGCAACCTTTTGGTAAGGAACTTTGTCTGCTTTGTATTTAGTATCTCTGATGCACTCAGTTCATAAACTTTTATGCTGACATTTCTGTAGTGTAGGTGACTGTCACAGGCACTAGCAGACATCAATTTCCAGAACCAGTCCAAACAAGTGCATGGAATTCACTGGCATCAGTTTCAATTTAACAGTTAAGCCTCAGGAGTAATTTGATATCTGACCTCTGCAGAGTTGAAACTATTATACATATTTAAGGCAATAAATACATGGGGTTAGATTCTGACTCTTTGCTCTTTAATGATACCATCATATTTTAAGTGGATTTATTGGTGCTAAAATCTTATTATCAGAAAAGAGAAAAGAAAAGAACCCAGACTGCAAACAAAGTCACTAATCTTTTTTTCCCTTGGACTTTGGCAGGCATGTTCATAGAGCCCTCGGTTGAGAAGGAGTCAGGGATCCGGCGAGGCTTCACGGAAGAGGAGCGGCTCATCACGGAGAAACTGATGAAGCGGACGGAGACCATCGGCATCAATGGCTCGCATCTCTCTGTTGACCGCGGTCAGTCACTGTCCCTGTCCTTGTTTGAGCTTCCTCCTAAAGGCTTTATTGTTGTTTTTGTGATGAATCTGTGATACACATTCAGTGACCCATTTTTTTATACTGAATGTTTTGAAATTAAGAATAAGAAAAAAAAAATAGAAGGAAAAAAATGTGTGACAGTCAGCTGGGAAAAAGGATAAACAAAGAAAAAAAAAATGGAAAAACAGAAAATAAAGAAATCTCTTGCCATACCAAAGAGCCTAGATTTATCCCAGCTGACAGGCGGTGTGTATCACAGTTTAGTCAAGCCGTTGAGATGATGGGTTTGGTCTTCAATCCTGTTCTTTATGGTGAAAGACTATGAGCTGCCTGCATGTTTTTTTTTTTTTACAGCACTTCAGCACCACTTTCGTTGTGTTGGAGGATTCCTAGTCATCTGTTGGACCTTGGTGTCATAGTCATAGAGGAGGCTTTTGTACTCCAGCCGTTTCTAGTCAGGAAGAGGAAACAGATTACTAAGAATTCTTAGCTTTTCTTAAATGTTTTGTATAAGGTGATTGTCTTCTGTATTCATATATGTGCACATTTTGAATAGATATGTATGTGCGTGTGTGTGTGTGTGAATGTGTATGCGTGTATGTGTGCGTATATGCGCGCGCGCGCGCGCGTGTGTGTGTGTGTGTGTGTGTGTGTGTGTGTGTGTGTGTGTGTGTGTGTGTGTGTGTGTGTGTGTGTGTGTGTGTGTGACGTGTGTGTGTGTGGGGGGGGGTATACATGTGTGTGTGTGTGTGGTGTGGGTATACATGTGTGTGTTGTATCGGTGTTGTGGTGTGTGTGTGTGTGTGGTGTGTGTGTGTGTGTGTGTGGGGCGCGCGTGCCGTGAGTGTGTGTGGTACATGTGCGTGTGGGGTGTGTACGTGTGCGTGTGTGGGTATACGTGTATGTGGTGTGGGTATACCGTGTGTGATGAGGGGGTATCTTGGTGTGTTACGTGTGTGTGTGCATGTGTGCGTGCATGTGTGTGTGTGTGTGTGTGTGTGTGTGTGTGTGTGTGTGTGTGTGTAAAGTATTGTATGCGTATGCTACGTGTATGTCTTTGTTGTCTATGTTTTATTTATGTATCTATATGTGTGGAATATATATATGTATATGTATATATGTGTGTATATATATATGTATATAATATATATGTATATATATTATAATATTTTTTTATATATGTGTATATTATATGTATATATACGTTATAATGTAATGGTATATATATGTATATTTTATATGTATATATTGTAATATATAATGTATATATTGTGTTTATATATATATACAAAAAGAACTAATATATATGTATATATGTGTATAAATATATAATATATAAATAAAATAAACTATATATATAAGAATATAAATTAAATATAGTATATATATAAATTAAATATATAATAAAATAATAACGAATATAATATAAATATATGTAATAATAGAATATTGCTATATATATTATTAGAATATATATATATGTATATATTATAATGGTATAGATACATATGTATAATATATTGTAATAATAAATAATATATATTAGATATATACCTATATATAATCATAATAAAAACAAAATAATATAAAATAATATAAATATAATATATATATGTATATAAATTAAAATAATACAAAATAAAAAAAACATAAACAACATAATACACATATAGTACAGATATATTATAGTATATATGATCACTAATAATTAGTATATATCAGTAAATAACTATATGAGAAAATATATACTACTATTATTATAAAAATATAATATATGCGAATATATATATTATACTAACGATATATAATTATAAATATACTATTATACTTATATTATGATAATAGTAATATATAGAAGGTACATATGCTGAATATATATTATATATTATATATATTAATATACTAGCAAATATATATCGTAAATGTTACTATTATATATTAGCTAATTTATATATGATTTGATTCCCGATATATTATTATAATATATATAACGATATATATATATGAGTATATATATATATTATATATATCAATATATATACACACACAAACATATGACAAATACAATATCATATGTTGCATGTACTAAAGAATAATAAATACAGATATAGAGTATATATATATATATATGAGATAGTATTGATATAATAGTTATAAAATATATCATAGTAGCAAACTCGAATATTATATTATAGATGTAATATGATATAATAATACATACATGTAGTGTAAATATAATGGAACTATAGAATATATATAAATATATATGATGAAACTTATAAGTATTGTACATACATAATGTAATGTATGTATGGAATTTACGCAGTATGAATGCATACGAGATGATATATATACGAAAGAACGATAGATGAAAGCGTAAAGATAAAATAATAAGATATGAAATAATATATATATATACTATATTAAGCCTAAATATATATATATATTAATAAAGTAATATATATCAGATATATCATTATATAGTCTATAAATGCGTAATACAATGAATATATACGCACACATATGTATGCATACGAATATGGGATTTCTAGTACCAAGCATTATATCGATAGTACGTATTGATATAATAGGATGATATAAAAATAGTATACTATAATATATATAAGTATATATAATATATATATATAGTATATAGTATATATATATATAGATATACATACAATACACACACACATATATTGATATATAGGATATATAACAACATATATATTATATCATATATTAATATATATACATATATATTATGAATATATATAGTATATATAGAATAATATATATATATTATATATATCTATATATTCTATATATATATATATTATTATATATAGTATAATAAATATATATATATATATATATATATATAATATATATATATATATATATGTATATATATATAATATATATATGTATGCATATGTAATATTATTTATGCTATATGCATATATATTATGCATAATGTATATGTATGCATATATATGCATATATATATGCATGTATGCATATGTAATATGCAATATGTATATATGCATGTATGCATAGTATATTTAGCATATATATATATATATATAGAATAATATCATATATATATATATATATATAGTAGTATGTATGTATGTATGTATGTATGCACGTGTCCACATGTATATGTATTCTCAGTTGTGCACATATACTGTATTCTTTTTCATATTACTTTTCCATTGGATTTGCAACTAACAGTTAGTTGACTTTGTAATGGTAATGACCAGATACTAACCTGAAGTTTATGCTCCTGAGCCATGCCATTTGTGTTTTCAAAGGATTATAGTCAGTGAATATCTGAAGTTCCACTGGTCACGAAAAATAGGTTGTAGCAAGGCAGTTTTTAATCCATAAGAAGCCTATGATGAGATCACTATTTATAATTTTTTGATTGACCATTCATCGCCCCCGTGAGCATTGTTGATACTGCAGCCAAGCCTCTGAAGTATGTCAGAATGGGTACTAATGACAAAACGTGCCGGAGAATTTGGTGATAACAGAATAATTGTTTTAATCTCATTATCATGTGTTTTCATGTCAGATGGGACCATCCTTACCAACATTAGTATTGTAGATTTGACCCATTGATACAGTAAGAGTTATTTATGTATTTAATCATTCATTCATACATTTATTCATTTATATTTAGTGTCCCAAAAATTTACAATTCTGTACTACCTCCCACCCCTCCCCTCCCCTCCCCATCTTTGGCACCTCAGGAAAGAAAGGTAAATTGAATTTTCCCAATATATATACCCCATGAACCCCATAGGACTGCAAAGCTACAAGTGGCGTGTCGTGTTTTTGTGCCGTCTGCCATGTCACGTGTATCTGTAGGTTGCCTAGCACACCCTTCTCCCTATTATGATTTGCATTCTCTATTTTAGTGTGAAATGTGAATGAATTATTAGTGTCATTTAAGTTCTGTACAGTACTAATGTTTTTCCTGTTACTATTAATGATGTGAAGTTTATGTTTGTGTTCTTGGATGTGCAGACCCACCATGTTTTTTGTTTGTTTGTTTGTTTGTTTTTCTGATAGCATGTGGAGATTTTCAAAATTTGTTCTGTATGTCTTCATGGAAATACAACTGACTTCATGCATGTGTTATGAGGTGTGAAATTCCTACAGAAACATTCCCCGTGATATTATTCCTCTTAGTTGACGATGGAAATTGCATTGGCAAAGACGAGACCAAAACTATGGAATCTGTACTTCTGTAGATCAGATTGGTGCAGTTTGATTTGATATTGATTGCATATATCAAACAGCCTAGAGGGGCATGTTTACGAGTGGTACAGCTGGGACACAGGGCTTGAGAAGATCTTGTTTGTAAGATTTGTCTAGAAATTGCCAAGAAATTCCTTTCCAAAGTGATGTGAGAAATGATGTACACTGATTTGGAATTTGATTTTGTGATACATTTCTGTATTTTGCCAAGAGATTTTGATAAATTAAGGATGAAGTAGACAGTATGAAAATCAAACTGTTACAAGAATCAATAAAGAGCTTTTACAGAAATCATGATAATTTAGTGACTACTATGGTTCACATATAAATGGCAATTTTTAAAAATCTTTCACCGTATGCCATTGCTTGAAATCTGATTGCTGAATATACCCAAATATGGGTAATTTGGATCATAATATCATATTGACTTGATGAATTCAGTGGAACCTGTTGTCCCAGTGTAAACTGTACAGTGTATTATTTTAAAAGAGATTAGATTTGCTTCGTATTCACTTGAACACTACAACGCTATGGGAGCTCTGCTTTCTTCAATGAACGAGAAAGTAATTTGGATCATGGAATATTTTATGCTACAGGCTATACTGTCTTTAAAGGTAGTACACTGTAGTATAGAGGACATTTGTAAATGATATATGATATGGGGGGGAGGTGAGCATGTAGCAGTTTGTCTCATTAGTAATATCCAGATTTATCTCAAAATGATCAAATGTATCTATCAAAAGTATTGGAATTTTCATTCTGTTACAGCCATTATATTGGGATGTTTGTTGACATAGTTGCCATTTGTGGTTACTTGTGGTTAAACAAACAGAGCTACAGCTTGCAGCGCTTGTAGTGCGTCAGGAGAACACAGGGCAAACATGAAAAGTGTGTGTCAAGTTGATTGGATGAGAATGATTTTTAATTGAAAAAAGAAAGGAAGGAAAATATTTTAGTCAGTTTATTTTCTTGGTATCTTCTGTATTAATTCTTCATCACATTGTTCAGTGGCTTTTCATCTTATTTTACTTCTGTTCCTTTATCTTTCTGTCTCATCTCATCTCACATCAGCTTTTCTCCTTGTCTGTCTCCTCGTTTTTGTCGTCGTCTTTTCAGCCTTTTCCTTCTTCCTCTCCTCCTCCTCTTCCCTCTCCCTCCTCTCCCTCCAACTCCTACTCCTACCCCCTTGCTCATCCTCTTCCTCTTCTTTCCCCTCTTCCCCATCCCCCCCTACCCTCTCTCCTCTCCCCTACCCCCACCCTCTCCCCTTCCACCTCACCCCTACCCTTTCCCCTTCCCCCTCCCATACCTCTCCCCTTTTCCTTCCTAATACCCTCTCCCCTCTCTCCCTCTCTCCTTCTTGTCATCGTCCTCCTCTCTTACGCCTCCCCCTCCACCTCCACCTCCACCTCCCCCTCCACCTCCCCCTCCACCTCCCCTCCCCTCCCTCTTCCTTTTCTTTATCCTGCTCTTCAATGAACTGTATTCAAGTTGACAAATGTGGAAGGGTACGAATGATTCAAATATATCCTCTTGAGGAACCGGTCAGATACATCTCTTGTATTGTGAAGATATTCATTCTCATTCATACCTTTCTACATTCCTGCTCTTCCTTCTCCTACACTTCCTTCTCCAGTTTTTCCTCCTCCTCCTCTTCTTCCTCCTCCCCCTCTTCCTCTCTTTCTCTTCCTCCTCCTCCTCTCTTTATATTTTCTTCTTCCTCTTCTTATTCCTTCTCTCTTCTTCTTATTCCTCTTTTATTCCTTCTCTCTTCTTCTTTCTTTCTTATTCCTTCTTTCTCTTCTTCTCTTCTCTTCTCTCTTCTTCTTCTTCCTCTTATCTCCTTCTCTCTTCTTCTTTCTCTTCCTCCTCGTCCTCCTCCTTATATTTTTTTCCTCTTCATATTCCTTCTCTTTATATTTTTCTTCCTCTTATTCCTCCTCCTCCTCCTCTGCCTCTTCTTTATATTTTTCTTCTTTCTCTTTAATGGCTATGTATGATGATACAGCCAGGATAAAAAATAGGAGAGTGGCTGCGCAGAAAAAAAAAAAAAGTGTATTTAGGTATATGTGTATGTTTGTATACATGCGTATAGATACACCTGCATGTGCGTGTAAGATTGAGTGTGTGTGTGTGAGTTTGAGTGTGCGTGTGCGTGTGCGTGTATGTTTGTGCGCTTGCGTGCGTGTGTGTGTGTTGCGTGCTGCGTGCGTGTGTGTGGTGTGTGTGTGTGTGTGTGTGTGTGTGTGCGTGTGCGTGCGCGCGTGCGTGTGTGTGTGTGTGTGTGTGTGTGTGTGTGTGCGCGTGCATGTGTGTGTGTGTGTGTGCGTGTGTGTGTGTGTGTGCGTGTGTGTGTGTGTGTGTGTGTGTGTGTGTGTGTGTGTGTGTGTGTGGTGTGTGTGTGTGTGTGTGTGTGTGTATGACCTGAACACAAGTGCAAACTGTAAGGAATGAACAAGATCCAGTTGAGAGAAAAGCATTATTATTTTCTTGCTTTGGGCATTGCATGCTGATTATATACAAAACCCTTCGAGGAAAAGTGGAAGAGGGGAAGAGATGTTATCACTTCAGTTTTTATTTATTTGTTTATTTGTTTAATGTCAGTATAAGGAGTAAGAACAGCACTTGCTATTTTGTTTGATTTACTGTGCTCTATGAATATCCTCTTTAGGTTTGCAAAATTCTGAACTGTTCCAAATAAGATAAGAAGTGATGATGTCTTTTGCCTCTTGTAATGAACGACTCAACTCAACGACTCAATCATGAACAAGGCTGAACTTGGTTCATATGGGTTATTGTTAACAAATATTGAAAATCAGTAGATGGAACTAGTGCATGGTATCTGTTTGTATAAATATTTGTGTGTGTGTGTGTGTGTGTTTGCATGTATTTTGCAAGAGTGTTTTTTTTGTGTGTGTGTGTGTGTTTGTGTGTGTGTGTATGTGTAGTTGTGTCATGTCATGGGACCTGTGTGTCAAATGCTGTGAATATTTAGCACTGGTTGCTTGCATGTACACTTGTGAAGGACAAGGCAGCTTTACTTGTACTACAATGACCTTGTTGTCTTGCTTCTCCTTAAAGATGCAGATTTGCTCAAATATGTGCTGTGTAAGTATGACAATGTGTTTCGTTGATTAACTGTCATTGTTAGTGATGTTGTTGATATTGATAAGGGACTTCTAAAAGAGAATTGACTTGTTTCTTTAATAGATCAAAAGTTCTTCCAGGATTTGGTATTTTATTGTAGTCTCTTCATGGATGCTTGTACTCCAGTCATTGGAATATTTATTGGATTTTATATGAATCAATGAAATGGCATAATTCTTTTGTTGTTTAAGAAGTCCAAAATCTGTCTATTGGATGTGACGTAATTTTAATGCATGGCCAAATAGAAATTGTTCTGATCAAATGCTGGCTGCGGCTACAGGGTCGCGGTATTCACTGGAGTGCAGCATTGATGAAGTGAGCAGCCTGGGTGGGGTCGGAGGGTCCCGGGCCTCCCTTGCCAACACATCTCTTACCTCAGCGGCGGACCTCTCCACCCTCTCCTCGGTCACCCTAGCCAGGCGTGGTGACATGGACGCAGCCTCCATTCAGTCAGGTCGCTCCCTCATCTCTCCAGACACCCGCTCCGTGCAGTCAGTGCGCTCCCCAAGGTCTCCCACAGAGAAGTTCAGACACTCCAACAACCATTCGCCATCCCAGTCGCTGCCTACGCAGACCAATGGTGATGTTCACAGTGATGCAAGGTCAATTCAAAGTGAAGGTGAAGTCGTGCATAATGGCTTGGCGGGTAGCCCCCCGCACAGCCCATCTACCCCAAGGCCGTCCTGTTTGTCTGTGAGTCAGACGACCTTGCAAGATGGTGAGGCCCTGCAATCTGAGCCCGCTACGCCTAAGGCCACGGAGACACCTGACACAGTACGTATCTTCGTGCCATACTCAGGGAACACAGAATCAACAGCATCAAAATCTCAAGCCCCAAGAACTCCTCCGCCTGCAGGAGAAAACCCCAAATACATTACTTCGAGCCCCGACGATCCCAATAGGATCACCATTCGCGTCGACAGGGACGAAGCTCTCTCCTCCCCGAGAGGGCTGTCTTCGGGACCAAATACCTCCTCGCGAAATTTTGCCGACTCCCAAGATCTTCCCTCCCAAAGCTTCTCGTCATCAGTTCTGGACGATTCGTCAGATCTCTCCACCACACTTCAGGAGACGAGCTTCACACAGGACATCTCTCCACGGATGAGACCTTCCTCAGCCCCCATATCTCCTTCACTGCCGAAGCTGCAGACAGCTCGATCCCGCCCCATCACGCTAGATAGTCCAGAGTACAGTGAAGGTCTCTTATAAGTACAAGTTCAGCATCCTGGGCTTCTGACTCCGAGCTTGGTTGGTTATATATGTATATAGCTATTGGTACACTGGACTTGTAGAAAAGATTATAAATTTGAGTTTATTTAGAATACTGAATTAAATTTTATTGTAAGAATAAAAGTCAGCAATATGAATACAGATATTACTGTTGTCTGCTGTTTGAAAGTTCTCAGATCTGTGTAAATTGACACTTTTTGCCAGAGTAGAGAGAAGTCCAAGTCATGTTAAAACATTGTTGGTTGAAGTGTGAGTGATCAAGTGTGTGTGTATGTGCGGGTGACTGTAAGAGCTGCAGGCTCATTATTAGTAAGTGTACTTAATAGAATTGGTGTTTCTAGATGATCTGTCACTCCTGTTATTAGAGAGCCAATTCTAGGATATTTTTGTATGACTCCTGTTCTAGTCTTCCTTATTTTTCCCCTTTCCTCTTGGTGATTGGCCAGTAGGTCTAGGAGGGCAAAGCAGAGTTGCAGCAACCCGCAGGGCCCCCACGACTGTTAATACTAACATGGTGGTGTGACTGGCTTAAGCAATGTACACAGTTATGCCATCAACCCAGTTTCGTCAACTTTGCCAACCAAGGTCAAGGTCAAACGAATGGCCTTATTTTTGTAGGTTCCAGTGTTTGCTAGCTGTGTGAGGTCTAGGATGTAAATCCCTAGTTTTATTTTTCCCTCTTTTTTTAACCCTTTTTTATTTGTTAACAGATATAATTTTCATTGTGGACGTTGTTGGTTTTTAATTTTCTTTTAATGCAACATTCCAGATGTGTTGTTAGAATTGTATATGCTGTGTTAAAACAGCTGGCGTTTCCATGATTCTATACAGTATGCTTTTTATGGGTCCAGTCAGCAGATGTACTATTATCGTGGTATAGTAACTTGTTTTATTTTAACGTCCCAGTTTAATTCTCCTTCGAGTATCATTTAGTGGAACCGCGCCTTCATCAAGCATATATTTGGAGACTGGATGCGGAAATAGAAATACTCAAATACTCAATGTGCCTCTGTGCAATAATTCCAAAATTCAAGGGAGTGAATTCAGGAGCCCATTTGGTAAAGGCCTCAACGTAGATAGCAATGGCAGCAAAAAAGAAAACAAGAAAAAAATGCTCATTATCCCATTGTATTTGCATCTTTTAGTATTTATTTGTAGATGTTTCTTCAGGCATAAATCTTGCTGTGTGATAAGCGTGTGAGTGCTTCGTGTATATATATAAATATATATATCGAGAATAAGTCGGAGGGGAAGCAGGGCAGGAGATGGACCATGCACCAAAGGCCTTTTTCAGTGTCGAGCGCAAGGGTGCCTGTGACAAGTGGTCGTTAAATGCTTTATATTTTATTATTATTATAAATTTTTTCAAGACTTAGGTTTTACATATTTTTGCTCTCTTTTTAAAATATTTCTTCCCTCCCCCCTTTTTTTCATTATTCTTTTTTTGTATTTGGATAATTTATTTGTATTGATCTTTCTCTCTTGTTTTTTGTTGTTGTTTCCTAAAGCCTACTTAAGCAATCCTGATGATTAGTGAGACTTTTGTCATGCTTTTGTATCTTAGAGAATAGATTAATGTTGTCTACATTGCCTACTGAAGAAACAAAAACCATATCTGTTTCTTTTTTAACACAATAACCCTCTCTTTTTATTTTATTGACAATACTTTGAAGCAGTATTATGTACTCAAGTACATTATTCTCATAATATGCAAGGAAAGTAATTTAAGTGGCACATCATAAGATAAAGCTGTAGAATGTTTTTGTAATTTCATATTGGACTGTATTTTTTTACCATTCCCAGTCAAAGAGTGAAAAAACGTTAATGACATGTACAGTATATGTATGTACATGTATCACCTGCATTTTGCTGGTGTGGATGATAGATGTGCATGGTGGAGGTCCAAAGTCATTGTGACAATATACGTGCATCTAATCAGTTAAATGGTATCACTGTTTTCTGGCTCTGTAATGGTGTAGTTGTATGCCCTTGTTTTCTTTTTTTTTTTCTTTTTTTTTTTTTTTTTTGAGCTCAAAAGGCTTGAATATCCTGTTTTTTAGCATTTTTTATGTTGTTATATTTTTCTTAAAAGCCAGGAAACACTGAGAAGTTTGCATCTCTTCTGATTACTAGTTGGAAAATAGGGTCCAGTAACTCAGCACCTTGGATGAATTAACTAAAACCTGTACGTAGAGACGTATATATATCCAGTGAGAGAGTAAGTGATGGAGAAGGGTCGAATTACACTCGCCCAGTGATTTCCGTAGAATATGCACAATCGATTGAGCCTGAATATCAAATGCTGTTTTTAATTTTCCATATTGTGGAGTAGAGACACAAAATCATCACTTATTATCTCTTGTGAAGTTAGGCCTCATGGAAACTTGCTGTTAGTGATAAAAACACCAGGTTGACGCAGGCTAGGTCAATGATGATAGCCAGTGATAGTTCGGATTCCCTGCACGTAAGTCATTATGTAACACCTTCACTTGTAGTTCACAATATGGAGGATAAATGAATGTAAACTAGACTAAATATTTGGATATTTGGATAGCAATATTGTTGCAGGCACTCATGTGATAATTTTATGTTGGTAAAGAAACGTTTGGGTAAGTTTCGTCTACAGTGCAGTCTTGTAACATAACATGCATATGTAACTTTAGGTAAAAAGTTGTTGTTAAGTATTAAGAGACAGCAAATGTCAGTTATGTGTCATCACATCACAACAACGGAGGCAGCTGAAAATTTAATTGTTAACATCATAGGTAAA